TTCTAGCCTAATTAATTTTCCATAATTTGTGCAAAGTACCACGTTCTATGAGGGGCTAGAATTCACGGGTTTGCTCATCCTACGGATAGAGAAGTCCCTAGGATGTGCTTCGTATGTTCTCAAAATCTTACAATCAGAGTTGAGATGCAGGAGTCGGGTGACGGCGAAATGACGCGAAATCAGAGCATTTCTCGACGCGGGATCACCTTATCCCGACACGATCGAGAGGTAAGCCGATCAGCCGCTCATTATGATATAGCTTGCTGCTCCCATTCATTAATTCATTAGATCCAGCTCCCCGCAGCTAGATACCATCGCTCGACATCGATGAGATCTACGGGGACGTAAGCAGCCTAACAATCGATGCCTTCGGGAGTCGACCCGATTCTAAACTTGTAGTGTCCACCGTTCATCTCCTCTCGAATAGATCAGAGTGAATTTGTTTCGAGCAGAAACTCTGCGCCAAACATTGACCCAGAAAAACACTAGACGCAAACAACATCCCGATGCAGAACAGATAGAGGATGGGTAGGATGTCGGCCACATTCACATTCTCATTGGGAGGCCCGTCCTCCAGCTCGTGTCGCTCGACACAACGAGCATCGGAATCATTGTCCGTACCCAAATGGCTCCTACCCTTGTCGAGGCTGCAGAACTTCTGGCGATATGTGTTCGATAGCTCCAATTCGAAGAAGTCCTCGATCTTGCTCTTGAGATCACCATAAGAGTCGTGGTCGGGCGGGAATCTGGTCCTCCCATAGGTCATCTCGTGCTGGGCTACGCGCAACGGCTCGAGCATAGGATAGTCGCTGACCAGGACGAATCGTTCCTCGGTAGAGCCTCGACGAATCCGACACCCCATGAGCTCTATACTGTGCACGATGTACTGGGGCTCCTCGAAGGAGACTTCGTAAGCGCTGATATTGCGAAACAATTTCTCTCGCATTGCTCGAATTCTCCCCTCTGATTGACATATCACGCCTCCTCTTAGGAAATACGGCGCATTTTGAAGCAATAAAGCTAGGCTCTCCTCATACGCGAACCAGGCTTTTATCGTCGACACTGTATCCGTATCAGCCCCATAAGCCTCTGAACAGTTAGGAACAGATCTCACTCTGGATGCGGGAAGAGCGCTGAAGCTCGCTACGACGCCCCCCGCGATGTACGCGCGGATTATCGGGACAGTCAAGAACCAGAGGCCGAGAAGCGCCATGTTTTTGAGTGGGATCCTTCTCGCTGGATTCCAGAACATCGGAGTCCACACGCTGCAGATCAGGCGATAGAAGGTATACCTCCTTTCCGAGCCTTGCGGATGTTCACTGGAGAGACAGATCCCAGCGGCCAGGCACAGAATGAGTATCCACAGGCGGGGTTGGAATACAGCGAGAAGACTGTTCCAAAACGCGCTATCTCGAGGAACCCGAGCAATTGCAAACAGAGGCTCGTGATACAGGCCGAAAATATGCGCAGAGTATCTCCTGGTGTAAGAAAAGTCAACTATCATCATTGTACCATTGGGGTCCTGGAAGACCACAGAGAAGTCTCGGATGCCTTTGAACGCTCCGGAAATATCGGATTCCCGGAAGAAATTTACATCTATTCTGGTGAACCGAAGGTGCTCGGCATCTCGTAAAGTTCGGAGCGTCTCATCCAGGCCTACTCGCTGCCAAGAGGGGGAGTCGAGGAAGAGAAATCTCCGTAAAAAAGGCGAGTACTTTCTACTTCCTGGAGCGTGTGAAATGAAGTATTCTGGCTGGAGGTCAGGATTTACCCTGATTCTCACACGATAGTGGCTATCTGCTCCGTTCGAATAGCTCGATTGGGCTTGCACGTTCTCGATGACAAACTCCAAGGCGACGAAGAACCTACGGGGGAATCCGGTGTGTTGGAGCAGTCTCGCAAGCTTGAGGTCTTCTTGGAGCTCGGCACAAAGAAAGGCAAGGTACACCGTGTCTTCCGACGATTGCATTTTCTGATGGGACGCCATGAACTCGACGATTCCCATTTGATTCTGCCCAGACAATCCATGATTGAAAACATCGACGAAACTTACGTCGGACGAAATTCGCACTCTAGGCTCTACGCAACAATCGGAGTCCAAAACTACTACCGGCCTCGACTTTCCGTATAAAGACAGGATGTCGCGGACCTGATCCCTTCGGACCTGTTGTTTTGGAGCAGATCGTGGAGTCTCCAAAGGTCTATCTGACAGAAAGCATCCTCTCGGTGGAAAATTAGTGCTCGCGGTCCCGATCAGAACGGCGGAGTAAATTGAGAGAAGCAGCCTGAGGTTCATCAGACATCGGAGGACCAGTACTCGCGATTCCTCGAGGAGGTTTAGACTTAGAGTCCGATGCAGGAGGACCGATCTGAAAGCGGAATGATCATAATATCAATCGATCGAAGTCGATTCAAGCCTCAGATCACCCTCAACATCCCCTTGACTAACCCGAAGAACTCATCCCATTTCAATCATGGGAAGTGAGACTCAATGGAAATCGCGCACACAGATGAGCATCGGCAGGTAGAGAGGAACATCATTTCACTCTCTCCGTCGATTGGTCGCGTCGATACGCTAGAGTTGCGACAGGTCAAGATGCATTCCTATATTATTCTCGTGCCGCGCTGTTCCGATCGAAGCGTTCGATCTGTTTGTGATCGAAATCATCGATATTCCTGACCTTCACCCCGTTGAGGGGCATTTCCGACGATCATCTCGCCAGTGAAGCTCAGCAATGCTTCTGGACAGGGGTGATTCGACTGTGATCCGAGCTCCAGCTTTTCAATACGGACGATACAGACCGATGTATGTACTCGAGGCTTTGCGATCAGACCTCTCCTCCGAAAGGTACTCCTTCAGGTACTCGCATTTCTCGGAATGCGGCATAACGGAAGCCGTCTCCGACACGTAGGCTTTCGGAACCTGGCAATCATCGTCGCGAAGGCTGTGATTAGTATAGACACTGCTAGGTACAAGTCTTCTCCGGAAGACGAGTACTCTTCGAAAGACGATACCTCTCCGGAAGATGGTAAATTATTGTCCTTCATGTCCACCGGGGTCCGTCAGGGGAAATGCGAGGTCCGTTTAGATGAGCGCAAGGAAGCAGAAACGGACAGCAGTTTTGGATAGTTTGACTCGAGGGCCTTAGGTTTTGTATCCGAGAATTCAAGGTATTTCTCAGAGAGAAAATCGGCAGGGAACGGCTGGCACGTGCAGCGCGGCGGAAAAGTCGGAAATTCAAGAAGGTTGCCCTAGGCGGAATTTGAGCACGCTTCGCGCCTTACATTGAGAACTCGAATCGCTGCATCTCTGACCCGGATGACGGCTTTTGCTCTCATTCCCCTCGAGATTGCGCGACCGAGTATTCTGTCTCAGGACTTCAGACATCTGAATCCAACATCGGGTCACAAGGACCCGGAGAAGCGATCGCTGATTTAGAAGTCCTGCGAAGTTCCGTTCTGTAAATCTCCGCGCTCGAAGTATCGAGAGCTGACCGGCATCGGACGAATCTCCGTGATTTTTGAGCTGAACACACAGAGCACTCCGAACCGTACGTTTTCGACGAAGGTAACTCGAAGAACTTGGTTTCTCCCGTGAAATTCCCGAAAAGTGGTCTAGGTTTCCACGGAAGAGCATGCGCGACAAAGCGCTGAGCTGATCTCATTTCATGGACTGGCGGATGGCCTCCCTGTGCGAGATAAGTAGATAAGTCGTTAGAGCAGGGGACAGGCTCGAGCCATTGTAGAGAGGGGCGGAGACGGAGCGTCGTGATTGGCGATTCCGGTGAAGAGTTCACGCCTGGATTGATTCGCTATGCCGTCTTCCGCACAGAGGACACCACCCTGTGAGAAGGGTAGAAGCCGGGCTCCGCATGAGCGGAGTATGCGGAACCCGGCCGGACCGAAACATACCGTACCGATTGAGTGGGAGATTCGATCCGCTGATTCTGACTGAGGTTGGGATAACCTGTTGGTACGGTTGTGCTGAGATAGCACAACCTAAGCCCGAAAAAAAGAATCGGGTCAGTGGGTCTCATCTGGAATGGTATTCTACATGCCAGTCAATCCATGACAGCAATCGCAAGCTCGTTTCCCAATCGCTCCATCAATAAAATATCAGGCCAAATTATCTCTAGTTATCTTGCTTATTATTCCGAGACCTTGGAGGAGCCTGTTTTGTTGTACCACTGGACAACGCCTGTCCAGAAAGAGACACATTCTTTCACGTAGCCGTGGGTCATGTTGTCAACAACTTCAGTTAAGAGACCATTGACCCGAGAAGCCCGTGAATATAATTATTTAATAGTGGGCCAAGACATTTTCGACCGACCAACATATCTTCGATTCGGCGCCTGGTGATGACTCCAGGGAGTGTATCTGGCGGGCTCCGACGCATGACAAAGATCTGAGTTCTCCCAGAGAGAGCTCTCTTGTCTAATGTGTATGGAGACCCAGCGAGTAGCTCTCCGTTCCACGGCCATTCGGCTTCGAGGGAGGGGAATACGATTCGACGCGCTGCGGAACCTTCGATTTCTCCGAGATGCTGGTCTGTCGGTCTGCCGACAGGAGCGTAAGAAATATCGGCTGTACGTGAATCTACGCCGGAACAACAGAGATTTGGCACCCGCCACCGATACTCTTTGTTTTTCGGGGAAGTGGGAACGAAACGAGGAGAGGGGAAGAATGGGAGAGAACCCTGCGAGATTTTCCGAAGACCGGCGACGAAAGGCATTGGTGGCTCATGATCTAGGTCACCTTTCGAATTCTTAGCGAGTTTTGAATGAGACAACCTTGTGAAATACGATCAATTGAATCCTTTAGCTTGTCAGGCGTGTAATTTTACGGATGCGGGCTATCAATGAGAGCTGCGATGCGGGCGCCGCATATAAATACGATCATTCCGCAAACCATCAGTCCAAACGGAAGCCGAATGTTCGCAATGTTAACTATCGCTCTTTGCGCGCTTAGCGTTTCAGTGTTCCAGATTATTGAGGCGGGGCCGAGGTTCCCGCTTCCCCAGACCAAATCGAATGATCCGACGCAGCCGAGCAAGTAAGGCTTCTTTCAAAAAATTACCTAGTCCGATACACTGATCTTATGTACCCATAAGCACGTTCATGCTAAGAATCAACCCTGACTGCCTTGTCGGATAGGTTTCCCCGACCGACTTACGATCGATTCCGAGAAGTCTGGAAGCTATTTGTATATCGATTCCGAATCCGCTCTCCGTCCAGCGGTATCCGGAAATGATAATGGAAGTTTATTCGCACAAACGAATCCCTGCATTCGCACAACTACTCCTCAACATTCGAGATTATTTTAGGCTGACGGGAATATTCTTGAGTCATTAGTCATGAGCTCCTCTCCGATCGACTTCCTACATCTTTGAACACGCATCAGTACACCGAGCGGATATATTTCTCAATTTTTCAGTCCTCTGACGATTCTGGAGTTCATGAATTCCAACATCTACCTTGAGCGTGACATCACAACCGAATACGACAGCGTCGTCCTGGTCGCGACGGGGTCCGATCCGAAAACCTGGGGAGCCGCCGAGAAACTCGGTCCAGCCTTCGAGCCGTTCAAACGGCTAGACAAATCATTCGGAAAAGACGTGACGCTCACGGTACAAGATGACGTCATCGTGGTTTACTCGCCAACCGGCGACATGAAGCGTGACTACGACGACGTCAGAAGCTTCATGGAAGCCGCAGAGAAAGGCGTGAAACGTGCTTTGAACTCAGGCTCCCGGAAGCCTCTCGTGGCTCTGCCGACGGAATTCGTACCATTCGACGGATTCAATGTCGACTCGAGCGTTGTTCTTGGCGCTTTGAAATCCCTCTACGTATCCCTCCAATCGAGAGAGTTCGCTCCTCAGAACGCATCCAAGGTAGAGCGCATCGGATTTCTGAACTTCAATGGCGACGATGATCGCATGACCTACATTCTGAGTCTCGAGGCGGGCCAGGTTGTCTTCCGAGACATCATCCTTGCCGATCCGGAACGCATGACGCCGAAGAAGGTGGAGGAGTATATAAATATGCTCTTCAGTCCCGCGCATGCCAGTCCCGTGAGCGTGAAGGTAATCTCCGGAAAAAGCGTCCTCGAAAAAAGCTACCCCTGTCTGGCTGCAGTGGACAGGTGCGCGGAACAGGTTGAGCGACATGCCGGTCGAGTGATTTTGTTGGAGTACTCGGATGGAAACCCAGAGAAAGTCCTCGGTTTCGTGGGCAAAGGGATCACTTTCGATGCCGGCGGTGTCAATCTCAAAACCGGTTCCAGCATCGCCGGAATGAGCCGCGACAAAGGCGGAGCCGCCGCCGTCGCTGGAATTTTCCAATCGTTGGCGATTAATAGACCGAAGAACATCCGCGTTCTTGGGGCGCTCTGCCTTGTGAGGAACTCGATCGGGGCGGATGCTTATATGATTGACGAAGTCATCGTATCGCGGGCCGGTCAGCGAATTCGAGTCACGAACACCGACGCAGAGGGGCGGTTCGCGATGGTCGATGCACTTGCCGAGATGAAGGAGCGCGTTCTGCAGGAGAAGTTGGAAAACAAAACTCACCTGTACACCATAGCCACGCTCACCGGAGCGGCTTCGGCAGCTGTTGGACCACCCTATTCCGTTGCGGTGGACAACGGTGTTGCGAGGAGAAGAAATAACTCGATGGTACGCCTCGGCGCTCACCGCCTCTGATATTCATTGTGCCACAAATTGATACGTATGAGTTCTCTTGCTGTTTTTCCATTCGCATTTTTGTTTCTCATTCATTCTTTTTCCTCCCCGCAGGACTTGCAGAGAGCGGGAGAGCAGCTCGGCGATATGATTGAGATTGGTCGTCTACGTCGAGAGGATTTCAAGGCGGTCAATTCGAAGACTCCGGATGACGATCTCCTTCAGACGAGCGCAAGTCGTCACAGAGGATTCCAGTACCCCGTGGCGTTCCTGATGAGGGGCTCCGGTGAGTTTTAAACTGGAAAGCGGAAATCTACACGGAATCGCACGATCGGTAGAATCGACGGATTATTCCAATCCGTCGATTCTGGATCCGCGGAGTCAAATAATCGAGGTATAATTTTGATCCGACCAGGTTTGGACAAGTATGACTCCGATTCTTCGCGTCCTATCGCCTACACTCACCTGGATATCGCACCGGCAGCAGCGAATTTCCCCGATGCTCCAAATTACGCAGCGATGAATGCTATCAATTACAGATATTTCTATGAACCAAATAAATATAGCTATATATAGTTAACTCCGTTTCCTCATTTGCTGCGCGAGCAGCCCGGGCTCCGAGGATTCCTCGTCTCAAAAAGACCTGACGCTTCTCTCGAGAGCTCGGAGCGGAGGTTGCCGAGGGGAATCCTCGGAAGATCTGCTGGAACTATCAAATCATGAAATGCTTCTCAGCTACATCGAACTCAGCGGACCGTAGAGGATCTGGCCCCGAGGTCGACTAATCTCTCGACTCTCCTGGAGTCCTCTGCTCCCACGATAATAAATAACAAAACAATTGAAGAAATCTAAGTAAGAGCCATGGAGAAAATTCATGTAAGACGGTCGCACGCGGGTCGATCTCATTTCCGATTATCCACGAGAGCGGGAGGAGAACTCGTCAGAGAAAGAGCCCTCATGCTGATGAGGGCCTCCTCAGCATATTAATTGTGAGACCCTCAGAGGGATCATTTGACGAACCCACCATTGGCAGTCACTCATGAATTGTGCTCTGATTCGGAATGTCTTCGATTCGAATTCCAAGCTCTGATGCGCGATGAGTGAAGTCTAGAGCCTGGACTTTCAGGAACTGAAAAACTCCAAAATAGGCAGGCAAAAAGGCACTAAAAATCTGCGAAATAGGCATGAAAAATAGGCAAAATAGGCAAGAAAGGCACTTAAAACCTGGAAGAAAAAGCACTCCGAACTAGACCGAGGAGGAGCAAGAACATGATACGTGTGATTTCGTAACGAAATGGGAGCTCTCTATTCTACAGGAGTTACATTGCACATCGGTATCATGTGAAACTTGGCATTTTCCGGCGTCAGACCGTGCCGTCGATCGGAGAGAAGTGATTTGTAGCGGGAGAAGGACCGCTCTTCATCCACACTGACTGCAGGAGCGTACTTGAAACAGGAAATTTCGGCGACAGACATCTCCGCGATTGAGGGGCCACCTGCCTCACCTGAGAGAGCCCTTTCGATTTGGGTCAAAATTTCGAACCCTGGATTTTGTTGGAGGACACGTTTCAGTTTGCTCTTTACCATCTCTCCCTTGGGTCCCTCGGCCTCATTGATGCGTTGTTTGAATTCGTTGAAAATTTTGAGCGTCACGCTCAGCATCTGCGAGCTACATTCTAGTTTTTTGATGTAGTCGGGCAGAGCCGAGAAATTCGCAGCGATGAAAGTGAGGTGTGACTTCACGCTCGTATTGAGCAACAAATCCTTGGACTTCTTGATTGCAGCGGCTTCGCTTTCGTCGAGCTCCTCTAACACACGTTTGATGTCCTCCAAATGCCTCGCGTAGTACAGAGCCGCGGAGAGCCAGGTGCCCCCATCGAGTGAGTACGGGCTCAGGAGGCGAGGTCACGTTCGGCGCCGTGGCTCGAAGAACTCGGATGACGTAGAAGGCGCTTTTTAGGAATATTTTCTTGACATTGGCAATGATGACTGTCCACCTCCGGGGACAGAACACGTATCTCTTCACATACTCGATGGATTCCATGCGCCAGGCATGTGACGTGAATCATTTTCGGGAAAAGAACCTTTAAGCCGGCA